TAAGTAGTATGTATTTGTATGTTTCATCCACGTTTTTAAGTATTAGTGTACACACATACACAGATTACTAAAAACCAACTTTTTTCAATCAAAAATCTCAAGCGAGCAAGATTGCGAAAAAAGTTCATAGGAAAAAACCGAAAAAAATGTCGAAGATCATGAGATACCACGAAGGAGAACTTTTTCATTTTGTTCTTTGCAAACGGCTTATTTATGCATAGTTGGGTAGGGCTATGAAGGAGCTTTCAAAATGTGGATAAAAAGTTGACCCCCCGGGTGGGACCCTTCCATGGTTCACATGGACCGAATTTTCGGTTCGTCTTTTGAGAGACCTCCGGTGGCGGTCGGACCCAAAAAATCGGTGGAACGGATGGAGGACCTTTGGCCCTACCCAACGATTTTTAGACATTTTGGTATAGTTACCAAACACTCGAAAATGGTATCATTGAATGTCACGAGTTTCGACATTTTTCAAAAAATCGAATGGGGTCGTTTTCATTTTTTAGGTCCTATATGACCAAACTGTTGTGTAGAATCTTATTTTTTGATTATTCTGAATCGATCGCAAACACTAAACATTACTATTTTGAACATCAACCCAAAAACCGTTCACGTTCGTATGGAATCGCCGTACACTAAGTGTACATTCACAGTCATGACTATGGCTATGATCTATTTTCAAAGTTTTTTTTAAATAATTCCAACTTTTGTATGGGAGCTACATTAATTTTTCATCCGATTGGAATGAAACTTTCAGGGAATTTTTTTTTCGTGAAGAAACTGAGCCATGCAAAGTTTCATTTCATTCTGATGATGAACAAGAAAAATAATTTTTTGAAATTTCAAAGTTTTTTTTTTAAAAATACAACAAAAGAAAAGTGAATTTAAATTTTTTTTGATCAAATCGAGTTCTTTTTTATTAATATCAATTGTTGATTTAAACATATGTTAGAATTAAGTTATTTGAATTCTGTGCAATTTTTATTTATCAGCGTAACCTTTCTTCTTGCCAAAAATTGTGTTATGTATTTTTAAAAGTCGATCTGGTACATTCTGAATCATCTCAAGAAGATAAACCGATATTTTAGTGCGGGCCTGTCATTTAGAAAAAAGAAAATTGAAATATTCGACACACACTGAAAGTTTAAAATAAGCGCTAAATTTATTAACTTAAAAGTGCTCGGTTTTAATTGAAATACAAAGTACTTAAGTCGTGAACACATTAGCAATAACCATATAAAAGAAATTTCAAACCAAACACTGAAAGGAACTACTACGGTGAATAAAAGATGAAATGAAATGAATATTTGCAAATGATAATGAATTCTATTATTAATTTTGTTTTTCGACAATCACTTTTTTTCAAGCCAAATAAAAAATCGTTCAACAAGCAAAAACGGCTTATCCCAGAACAACAACATAAAACAAATTAATATGCCAAACCCAACAGAAATCAATTGAATAAGCCAATTACTAGAAGCTATAACATTGCCAATACTAGTGCTTATAATTGTTACAAGTAGTGCTATTATAGATCTAGTTGGTACCTGATTCCTTTTATATTGCTCGTAAATCGCGCGATGTTTTTCCAAATTCGCAGAATTTATGGTGTGGGGCAATTTAAAAAGAAATGTTTCCGTCTTGCTATCAATGGTATCTGTCGCAGAACCATAGACTTTGATTATTGCTTCCTAAGGTAAAAAATCGAAAGAAAAGTTCTGTTTGAAAGTAAAATACTCGTTGATAGATGTAACTTACTTTGTTCTGTGATAAACTGATTTGAAGCATGATAGAATCTTGGGTAAATTTGCATATTTCTTTGTGCGCTTTGATGTCTTGTTTAGTCAGTCGACTGCGAGTATTGTACCAACCAAGAAGCATCCAATCTTTGTTCTCTTCTGTGTCTGTATATAAAAAAATTAACAGTAAAATACATCAGAAAATATGTGTTTTCTGGGAGAAATAAATGAGTACACATTGAGTCATAAAAATACATAAAAAAATCTATTTGAATAGCCAGACTCAACTCACAACATTCAACAACTGTTTTAAGTTTATCCTTATCAATGGTAATCTCTTGGTCATTAGCCATGCTGACTAGTTTGAACGATCGAAATATGTTAATGTTTTTGCCCTTTTTTGTACCGACCAATCCACCAACGACTGAAGGAAAAAAAGGAAATTCATTGTTATCACATATTCCTTGTTTGTTCCAAATAATTGCAAATTTGATGAATATTGACCTAAATTTTCTTCTTTTGAGTATCCTAAAAATGCCGTGGACATGGCGTAAACCGTTTGACGATTCAGGAAAACATTGAGAGAAGGAATGGTTGCTACAGTCATCACATTCGAAGATGATACTTGTTTTGAGCTGCCGGAAACTGGATCCAATGCGACCGATTTTGAAATTGAAACGTTTTTGCCTCGTGCATCGAGCATGTGTGTCACATCCCCAAACATAGATCCTGGTTTGTCATCCACACAACGAATTACTAATGTTTGCATGCTTATTTTCGGCTGATATCAGGAGAAGTAAATAAAATCATTATTTTGGATAGAAATAGTTGATTTGAAAATGAAAAATATTGAAAGAGAAAGTTACCTTTTCTTCACACCCAACAAAATCAAGGCGCAATATGATTGGGCAGCCGATGATATTGCAAAACTGCGTATGCACTGTGATTTCTTCGTTAGATGGACTGGTTGTTGTATACCAACCAACAGTAAACTGTCGAAATCCTTTCGCTGCAGCGAATTACATGTAAAACAAGAGACAAACAAATACATTAAAACCACATGATAATTGTCATAATTCTTAATGCTTGACGTTGTATTTGTCGAAGCGGCTGTATATTGTCGCATTCTTTGTTTAAAATTTTTGTAATTTGTCCACGAAATGCAAATGTACAAAAATACCAAAAATTAAAATGAGCAATGCAATATTGACGCAGTTTTTGTCTTTTTAATTTGATCGTCAACAGCGGCAACCGGACTGAATATATCAAATGGATGAATCGTTGAGACTACGCGTACCACTACGTTTAGTAAACTGTATAACGTAGTCGGTTTGGAATATACCTTGTGCAGTGGCATATGCAATATTTGACGCTTCGTAGTTGATGTCAGTTTGTGAAATTTTTTCAAAGAATTGCGATTGAATGAGCGCATCATTTCGATCTAAAATTTTCTTCGTTTTCAGATCAATAATATAGAATCAAACGTCAGTTGCAACTGGATTTTCTTCCATTAAACCATTGTCATTCAAATATTGACGAATGCTAAGCCCCTCGATCCTTACAATATTTCTGTGTGATTTTTCGGCCAATAATTGTTTCAATGCGTTAGAATGGGCACGCAACGAATTCGGTGGCAAATCGCTCCATCAAATCGCCATTGTTGTCAATGGCCTCGGTGAAAAAGATACATTTGGAATTTTGGTGCATTATCATTCTTATCGATTAATGTAACGGTCATGCTAAGCGGTGCATTGGCCGCATTTGACGCTGCATCACGAGCCATCAACTGAAATCGATATACGCCTGGATTTGGAGGATCACGATCCAAACCCGCTTCGTTCACAGTCAAACAGCCGGATTTGGAAATGAGAAATGACGGTGTGGTCAATTCAAAAATATATACTGGATTTGAATCGGCTGTATTTAAATCATCATCGGTAATTGATAGATGTATCGGTTTACCATTTGCATCCAATTGCAACTTAACTATATTAATCACAAAAGAAAGAGTTATTTAAAATCCAAGCTCAAATTACCGAATGATTCGAATTCACGAATACTCTCCGAATCGATTTTGATATTCTGTATACTGTCACCCTCCAATGCAACTGCGTTCGTAATCTCAATATTTTTGTGCTTTTGTTCACCAATTAATAAACCAATCACTAAAAAAATGGAATTCATTCTTCAATAATTGCGTTTATTCAACAAATTTGTCGAATATTTACCTGGTTGTTCGCCACGTCGATATTGGATCAATTTCCGGTGTTCGCTTATGCTCTTAATGACGTTTTCATGCACGGAGTATTTGACAGTGGGAAGAGGTAATGGACTTATCCTTCCACTGGCGGATTGTGCTGTTCGAAATGTGTTTGAATTACTTGAGTTACTATTATCATTTTTATCGGACAGTGTGTCGGAGCCACTTTCAACATTGTTTTCTGATCTTTTTGGCATTTTAATCATCTCAAATATTTCCCCTGTAATCTATAGAGTGCAGAACATAAAATAAAGAATTTTATGAGAAACTTTTATGGTAAAACACAACAAAAAACAGATTGCACTTCTCTTGTCATTTCAATATTTAGATTACCCGCACTCAATCGTTCAACGTCCCAATCAACCGAAAACACTTTTACACACAATCGTTCGCTCGCACACCGGAATTATTTTTCCACCGAAATTTATTTGATTAGGTTGCAATGGCTGTTGACGTGAAATGTTCACCACGAATAATAAGCAATGTATGTTTCACAATGACGCATTCAGCTCGTTATCCACAGTTGTATAGTCGACCTTTTCTGTCAACGAAACATCCAGTGCGAGTGCCAAAGTTAGAAAGAGATGACTGGTACAAAAATGACGTTTGTTTTTTAGACCGAAAGTCATTTTGATGGTTTCGTATTTTCGTATTTTCGTATTTTCGTATCATGATGGTTTATCTTTATCGCAAGAAAATAGCAACAAAGTCTCAAATGAAATAAAAAATGTGTTGCTGAATAATAATTCAAAGTGATAAATAATAAATTTATTTCGCAATCTTGCTCGCTTGAGATTTTTGATTGAAAAAAGTTGGTTTTTAGTAATCTGTGTATGTGTGTATGTGTGTGTATGTGTGTATGTGTGTATGTGTGTATGTGTGTATGTGTATAATGTGTGTAATGTGTGTATGTGTGTACACTAATACTTAAAAACGTGGATGAAACATACAAATACATACTACTGTTATCAGCTGCTGCCTCTGCAGTGATTTGCATCAATCATCATCAAAACTGGATTTTTTTTTCTTTATCCGAATCATTACGGTGTTCGTCTTATAACATTTAAATCAGTGGAAAATATTTCAAATTCTTTGTGGCTTTGATTTTGTAACAGTTTTATTCAAATCATTTGATTAAATGATAATTAATTTGTGTACAGAACATGAAGAAATATAAAATAAACATGATCAAAAAGTTGCTCCATTTTATTCGAAGAAACCGACTGGGATGATTTCACAACGGCGACATGGCAAAGCCTTTAGATGAGCACTGATATCCGGCTTTCGTAAAAGCTACAAAAAAACATGTGTTGAAGAAAATGTAAACGAGTTTTAGTTAGCATACATTTCATTGACAGAAAATATTTTACCGGTAAAAAAAAGTAGTGACTTACATCGGTGATGCCTTCATCAATAAAATCAACGAAAATGATCAGCGGATCGACACGATTACGTATTGTCTTTCGTGCATTAATGATAGCATCAATGTTGTCTGGTGTGAGCATAAAATCACAATCATGTATGTGAATTTTCCGCAAATTATCCGCAAATCTTATGAATTCCACGATCGTTTCTTCTTTTAGTTTACAAAATGAGATTCCAAACACTTGCAGTTGTGGCATTTCCAGTGCAATCTTGACAATATTCTTTTGCTTTGGTTCGAATATTTCGTCGTCGGAACATTGATTGAATTCAGCTTGTATTTGTAATTCGCTTAAAAAATTCAATTTGGTCACATTGTTGACGACGCCTCCGAAATGGTTCGCTTCAACATTTCGTAAAATTAACCGCTTCAAATGAGTCAACCGTTGCAATTCTAAAATACTGTCGGCCGATAAATCGGAATAATTTTGAAATAAAACCAATTGCTCTAAATTTGCTAAATACGTTGCAATGTCTTTAAGTTCAACATCACAATTGAACGCGCCAATTTTCAATTTTCGTAATTGTTGATTATTCTGCATAAATTCAGAAAAAGTATCGTTAGCTATGTACTCGTTATCGCCTAATGACAACTCTTCGAGACGATTCCATGTGCCTGTATTTTGCAGAAATGATGTGTCCCATTGGATATGTAAACGTTGTAAATTTGGGCAACGTGTCAATAAGGCTAAATCATCATCGCTAAGATCGGTGTTGGCAATGCGCAATTGCAACTCTTCGAGTCGCCGCAAAACTGGTTCAATCGCTTGTAGTGACGTGTCCGAAATGTGTGGCGTTACGATTGATAATTTTCGAATACGATCACCAATTACACGACCCAAAAATTGATAGAACAAAAAGATCTCAGACGTCTGACATAATTTAAGAGTTACAATATATTTTCCGATCGCCTCGATAATGTTACGAGCTTTTTCTTCGCATTCATATGAACGAATTGTACAACTGAATGTTGTTTGCTTTGGAAATTGAATCTGTGTCACAAGTGCATTCAAGCGCTTGCACACTTTTGACAGTGAAACCGTAGTTTCTACATCACAAAAATTGAAAATATGCTCGAGACAATCATCATTTAAATCTAAAAACTCTGTCATTTTTGTGAATTTTTTACAAATTTTGTGCATTTCACAATATATACGGTTAGTATTTAATTTTCAAAATAAAACTTAAATCTAAACGATAAACCAAAATAAACTTTCCAATCAACAGCTGACATTGGCACTTTGTTACCGTATACACGTACAATTTGTTCAAATGACATAAGGCAACTTTTCTCTCGGCTTTGTTCTCTCTCTCCTCTCTCTCTCTCTCTCTCTCGGAACTCTCTTGTTCACAACCACCAATGCAAGTGCAAATGTCAAAAAAATGAAATGACGAACACAATCGACAGTATGTATTTTACTGCAAGAGGGCGCTTCTATCACACATTCTTTTTCATCTCTGAACATAGTTTTTTCTCGCTCTATCCACCTATCACATTTAAGCATTTTGCATTTGAGAATCATTTGTGGCAATTGTGTCGAAGAGTTAGACAGTAGACTCGGCACACAGCCGAAAGGTATAATTTTTTTGTGTGTGAAAGTTTATCGGTAAATTGCGTTTAAATCTCAAATCAATTGATTGTCTTTGCATACATTAAAATACACTAAAAATGTCGGCAAATAATTATTTTGGATTTACACATGGTGGCACACAATATGGGTGAGTTAAAATGAATTGGAATTAAATGTGAACCCGGCTCATATTTTCGCTGCTATGCGTCAGAGTATGAGTGTTTCAGTAATGGCGTCAATGCGATCGATATTTTGTCTGTGATGTCATATTTTCATCGTGAAATTCTTGATTCATATTTAAAATCGATATTTGTTTCATGCAATGTCTGTGTTATTTGAATGTTATTTGTTTTAAAAAAATAAAAATTTATTACGACATTTTTCAATACTAATTGAAAATTGATTTTTATTTTATATAGGGCTGCTGCGACTGGCCCAACCTATCCGGCTGCTCAACAGTACAATGCAGTCGCACCGACAGCTACTGCTGCAACCTATAGTGCGCAGCGAACGGGTGCCTACGACCAGGCTGCTTATCAAGCTGCAGCCCAAGGAACATATGCTGGTATGTAATAAATATTAAGAAGAATAAGAAAAAAAACATCCGCGGAATAAAAAACCTTTCAAAATGCACGATCATTTTCCGAACGATTCGGTTTTTTTTTGCCTTGTCAATAATTCAATATGAAAATGCAACTAACAACGCAATTTGTCACCATTAAATTGATAAGTGTATCAGTTTTCAAGGTGTCATACTTATCACTCACTTTAACATTGATTAAACATTCATGAATCATTTTACTCTTTAGTAAAAACTATGTTTTATTATTTTCGTCTGTATTCAATATGCGCGTATTCATATCACAGGAGCTGGTACACCAAGTGTCACATATGATTATGGCTATGGACGTACATACGACACAACCAAAACCTATTATCAACAAACATCTACTGCCACTTATCAAGCGGCCGCTCAGCCATATGCTGCACATGCAGACGCAACCGCCCAACCAGCGACAAAAGTAAAAGTTTGTATACTTTATTTTATTCATGAAGCGTTTAAAATTGATTTTAATGGTTATTTCATATTGATTTTTTTTTTTCGATTAGGTGACCGGATATCAAACAGCACAATATGTTGCTGGTCCTACCAGAAACAATGTTCCACAACAACAAGCCAAACCAGTCGTCGCTACTACTCCATACAATGCAAATCAAGCATACGCACCTCAAACGGCTTACCAACAGAATCCACAAGCCAATGCCCAACCAAAACGTAAGCGCACACAGACACGTTTATCGATTAAACAAGTTTGAGAGAAAATGAATGACATTTAGATGGTATCACTGTAACATTGACAAAAATATCGATTTTTTCTCTCTCTTCATATTTATAGAACCTCCAGCAACAACTACTTCTAGCAATTATTCGAGTTATGATGCCGCATTGTATAGTGCAGCCACTATGTATGCCGTACAACAAACAAATAAACCAAACAATGGGTAATTCCTTTTTTAATTTGATTGCTTTACTTCCGATGAATTTAATTTCAATGAATTTATAAAAATTCATTGCTTTTCTATAGACCGAATCCGGGTTGGCAAGGATTCAAAAAGGGTAACATGAAAACACAACGTCCGAAGCCACAACCAAAACCCCAACAATTGCATTATTGTGAAGTGTGCAAAATCAGCTGTGCTGGTCCGCAAACCTATCGTGAACATTTGGAAGGCCAAAAGCATAAAAGACGTGAAGCTAGTTTAAAAATGGCCGCAACAGCGGTACAAACAAGTCAAAATCGTGGCAATAATTTGCATTGTGAACTTTGCGGGTAAATAACGACATTCGGTAACAAAAATGAAATTGAATATTTAATCTCCAAATTTAAAATTTCAGTGTAACTTGTACCGGTAACGATGCATATGCAGCACATGTTCGTGGTTCGAAGCATCAAAAAGTAGTGAAACTTCATCAAAAATTGGGCAAACCAATTCCAACCGTCGACCCAAACTTTAAAAAACCGGTCAAAGTAAACTTTGTCCCAGCCGGCGGTGCGGTCGAAGGAAGTAACGATGCAGCCGCACTGACCGCAGGCTCTGTACCACCGTCAAATGTTTCGGTACAACAAGCAGCAGCAACGGTCCCATCAGACGCAACAATGACAAATCCAAACAAAGTTGAATCCATGGAAGACGATAGTGCTTTATCACTTCCGGAAGACGATATTAAGCCCGTTGGCAATGAATACATCGAAGAGATAAAAGGTGAAGATGGCAAAATGATAAAATTCAATTGTAAATTATGCGAATGTGGATTCAATGATCCAAATGCAAAGGAGATGCATATGAAAGGACGTCGTCATCGTTTGCAATACAAACGTAAAGTTCAACCAGATTTGGTGGTTGATTTAAAACCGACACCACGTCAAAAACGCATTGCTGAAGCAAAAGCACAACGAGCTGCAATGCAAGCAGATTTTTGGAATCGTCAACGTAATTTGGGCGATGATAGCAATGACATTGGCGATGGAATGTATTGGGATGAACGTAGACGATTCGATAATGAATTCGATAATATGCCATATAATATTCCATGGAATCGAGGTTTTCCACCAGGTCGTCCAGCACCGCCATTCATTCGGGCACCAATGCATGCACCATTCTTTGGCATGGTTCCACCGGGACGCGCACGACCAGAAACCTTTGACGATCGTCATGTTGTGGCCAAACATGCCGAAATCTATCCTAAAGAAGAAGAATTACAATTGATTCAACGTATTGTATCGCATACTGAACGCGCTCTGAAATTCGTATCGGATGCATTGACCGATAAATCGGCACAAAATGTTACTAACGGCGTGAATAAAGTCGAAGCACCAGCCACCGAAACTAAAACCGAAACTGACGAAACAAATGCAACAAAACCAAATGAAAGCGAAGCAGCTAATAGTACAAGTGCAGAAAGAGAGACCAAACCGAAAGAAGATGGTCGCGATAATCAATTGTTCTCATTTCATAAAGAGGCTGAAGGCAGCTCAATTCGTTTACTTAAGGGTGTTATGCGAGTCGGATTACTTGCAAAAGGTATTTTTGTATATTATCTATGCAATCTTTCGATCTTATTTTTATGTGGTTGTGTCATTTACTGTAGGTCTTCTGCTTCAAGGCGATAAAGTTGTTCAATTGGTAGTATTATGCGCTGAAAAGCCAACAGTATCATTGTTGAAACGTGTCGCAGCTGAGCTGCCCGTGCAATTGAAGCAAATTTCCGAAGATCATCAATTCACCGTGACAATGGAGCCCGAAGAGAGTGCCGTTTTGGTCTCCGATGATACGATAACGGTTAAAGTTTTCCTAACATCGCCACTACTTCGTGATCCTCAGCAACAAGGTGAGTCATTCAAATCAGTCCGTTTGTTATTCTTTCCCTGTTTTCATTTCATATGAATGAAAAAAGAAATTAATCAATCACTTATGAAAAATAACATCAAACATAACTGATTTGCAAGCAAAAAATAATAATAATAAAAGAATAAATCACTCGGAGAGAAAGCACTCGATTTCGAGTTACCAGTTTCGGTGGCTAGAACACTCAACCTAAACACACAGATTCGACAATCAAATGGATCAAATGGATGATTTGGAAATCCGTGGAATTTTTCTTGTTTTTTTATATCCTGTGAACATACTCACCATGTTACACTCGATATGAAGTAAAGTTGATTTAGTCATGTGTAAATGATACCTGTGACCAAATAAACTAAATAAAATCTCAGGAGAATATTGTGATCTTCTGCAGAGTAAAAAACTTTTAAAGTGAAGCAAATCTGAAATTGGTGCTTCGAAATCGTATCAGCGTGCGGACAAAAGCAAAAAAAAAAAAAAAATTGTGTAAATAACCAAAAATCGGCCAAAAAAATCAAACCTATTTTATTTCGAATATCTCTCGTAATTTAAATGGCAACACTTTCGATACCTTTGTCCATGTTTCCGAACTTAAACATTTGATTTTGATACGTGCGTCGACGTATCGACTATTTAAAAAAAAAGAATCGAATTCCGTGAAAAAGTCCAAAAATACGATGTACATTTGAATAAAATAGGTCAAATTAATAATAATTTCCACCGTTCTTACCAATATTCTATATATCATTTGTTTTCGAATTCAACACGAACAAAATATCAACAAAGCGGACGCCAATTACTTTATTCAAATAGATAAAGAAAAAATAAAAATGGAAAGAAAAAAAAACAAAAGAAATAAATAATTATTGGACATCGTTTGAGACATGCCGATTTCAATCGCGTGAACAAATCAATTAATATCATGGAAATGTGACGGCAAACTAAAGTGAAAAGTGTTTTCGTCGAGTTGACGAACCAAATGAACATCTCTTGAAATTGTCCAATACTTATTTCGCCTTGTTGCGAATTAAAAATAAAAATACGAAAAAAAACCGTAATGGCATGAGTAATCGGATGCAGTGCAAAAATAAGAAAGAAAGAAAAAAGAATGCGCGATTTGTGATAATTTGTTCAAGAGCAGTGAAACAACGGAAACGTATTGGAACGACCCGATCGAATTGGATTTTAAAATGCAAATCGTAATCAATTCGAAGCAAATCAATTCGTATACATATTGCAATCGATCACATGCAAATGAAATTAAACAATGAATGGAATCGAGCAAATTCTGAATCTTGACTCATTTTCTGTTTCATAATTTCGTCGCAATTGAATTCGCATTTGCTCGAATTGATTGTCGTTTTTCAATTTGAAGTCCAACCGCAAATGTGGCATCAATGCATTGAAACGTGATTTGGCCTTTATACATAAGATATAAATGGGCTACATCACAATGGTTTCGATGTGTTTTTGCTCATGATGAGATTATTATCCAGTCAACAATAGAATTTTAGTGGTTTGTTGAGTATTTTGTATAATAAAATTCAGTGCTTCGAACTTAGCTAGGCAACGCGCTGAGCTAAATTTATTATGAACGTAAACAAAAGCGAAAAAAAAACAGCAATCGTTTTTCTTATGATTTTTCAATCAATAATTACAAGAAAAAAACAACACACAAAGAAAACCAAAAAATGAAAGTATGATACGAAACGAGCAAATGAACGATATTCATGTATGTAAAAAAAAACTTGCGGAAGTGAAGGAAAAATTGCATACAGGATTTTTGACCATCAAATTTTACACATCGAACAAATGGAGTCACGGTTCTTTAAACGATTTTCAGAATGACACACTGAAATCGAGAGAAAAAAGAAACCATTTTAAATAGCCGATCGATACGATACAAAAAATACAAAACGTGTGCTGACAAACTGTATTGATAAATCCTCCATATCGAAATTCAAAATAAAAAAAGACACCAGAATAACAAATATGTCAGCAAATCGAGATAAAATAGCCAAAATCATTCGATCAGAGTTAGAAACTCTTTTCGAATTGTTACGTGCTATTCTCGGCCACGAACTACCACCAAACGAGTGACTAACCAAAGTAATCAAAAAAAAAAATAAAAAAAAAACTACAGACTTGAGTTTTGCTACAGTTTAGATGATTTGAATTTTTTTTTCTATATTTGTATTTGGAGTATTTATCAAATGTCAAAAGCATGAATTTCTTATTCTGTGTTAATGGTCAAACACCCTGTTACTACCTTGCACTTTAGATTCAAATATTGCTGCAACAGCAACGGAACAAACGGTTCCGAATCCCGATGATCTACTGCCACGCGATCCATGTCTTCAAGCTCTTGCTGCATTGAGGCACGCGAAATGGTTCCAGGTTTGTTTTTTGAAATTGTTGTCACCAGAAAATGAGAAAGAGAAAATATGATAAATTCAATTTGAAGGGAGAACACATTTAAGAAAAAAAAGAAGCAAATTTAAAAGGAGTAGAAGATGATCGTTGCGTTCTGACAATCCTGTAAAGTCGAAGAAAGGATAAAGAATACATTTTTTTCGTTTTCATTGTTGTTCAATTTGTTTATTTTTCCTTTGCGAAGAAGAAAAAAAGAGAGAAGAGAGTAATGATAGATTTTATTATAAAGTACAATTAAAACCTAGCTAAAGAGATCAAGCACCTAATTTTTTTATCGAAAATATTGAAAAAGTATCAAAAACTTATTTTACATCGAACATTTTTTTTTTTGTAGAATGTATTGCTTTTTATTCCATGAAAATATATGGAACGTAATTTGAATGAAATTGTTGAAATTTTCGCATGCGTTGCCTTGGCAATCATAGTTTCTATTTTAATAGGCGGTAATCAAATATTCTTCAAATGCAAATTCATTGAAAATCGTGAAATGAAAAATTATGATGTAAGCGTGCGAAAAATAAGAAAGAATTTCATTCAAAATGTGTGCCATTTTAGTCATGTGGCGGTTACGGTTTCATGAAACATTTACTAATATAAATCATTTTATTTTTGTTTGTTTTTACTTTTGCACAATTGTTGTGTTTTGTGTATTTGAATTCGGTTCGCACAAAATTCAATGATATTTTTAGGCTAGAGCAACTGGTTTACAATCATGTGTCATGATCATTCGTGTATTGCGAGATTTGTGTCAACGCGTTCACACATGGACACCACTCAGTCAATGGGTAAACGATGAAAAATATAAAAAAAGGATGCATTTAATAAATCTTCCATATTTCAGGCATTGGAACTATTAACCGAAAAGATAATATCGTCGGCTGGCATGCCATTGAGTCCAGGCGATTGTTTGCGTCGTGTAATGGAAGCACTTTCCACTGGATTACTGATCAATGGGCCCGGTTTAATGGATCCATGTGAAAAAGATCCACTAGATGCATTACTTGGCTTAACAAAACAACAAAGAGAAGATTTGACTGTATCGGCGCAAACATTCTTGCGTATGATTGCATTCCGTCAAATTTACAAGGTAACATCAATGTTATTTATTTACATAGAAAACAATTGACAAACAATTGTTATTATTATTATTATCATTCGAAGGTATTGGGAATGGACCTCTTGCCTCCACAGAAGTTTGCCGTTCGTCAATGGCGCTTCGGCCGTAAGCGTAGACGTTCCGGAAATGAAGGAGCCGAATCTGAAGGTTTGTAATTTACACGAAATTCAATGTTAAATTGATGAAAACAATTGGTTTATTTCGGTCATTTCAGGTGATTCGAAAATCGTAAAGAAAGATGCTGAAAACACCAGCATGGAAACATCCACAACTGAAACAACATCGGTGGCCGCCGATCCAATTTCAACCGATGCGGCTGTTGCTAATTAAGGGATAACCTATTTTCCACCTATTGCATTCACACTTATTCTGACAGCACAAAACTGAAAAACCATTCATTTCACCATTTTGTGCGCGTGTTTATGTTATTTTCTATTAATATATTTGGTCGCTATAACAACAACAAAAAATTGAACTTACTATTACACGATTTTATTTTACCAATTTTACTAGTTTAACCACATTATAATTGAATTGTTTGAAATATCTAGAGCGATAGTTCAAGATTACGTATAAAAATGAAGACATATTTGATGTGTGGACGAAGTATTTGTAATATGGCCGATGCAAATTCTCTTCAGGATCACGACAAAATAATGATTTTTTTTTTTTTTGATTTATTGGTCATTACACTTTTCTCAAGAAGTTTTTTTTTAAATGATTAATTGTATTGATTAGAATTTACAAAAACCAATTAGACACTTTAATGTGAAAATGAGCAGCAATGCCATATTGCCGAAAGTAAAAACTAGGGTATTCAGTAAATTTGATCACATATTTCAGTATGAAAACTACAATAGAATGTTTTATTTCATATAGCATGAATAGATTTATAAATCAATAAATAAAGTAGATTCAACACTCCTATCGCAATTACGAGAGAAATGAATAAAAAAATATATATAATAGACAACGTCTCATACATTTTGCGATTCGATTTGCTGATTGATGAATCAATTCAAATGTGGACAAAAAAAATGAATACAACAAAAAAATCTCAACGCATTTTCAAAACAAACGACAAAAATTATTCTTATGGATTTAAAGAGAAAATTTTATTCCTATATTATTATAAAACGTATTGAGGAACAATAAAATTAAAGGAGATAAAATATAAAAAAGCACGTTTTTTATTCTCAATTTGTGCATACGGATGAAGTAAGTATGTACACTAGAGTGTTTCCCGTATCAGCAAATAAAAAAATGGTATTTCTTAATTCAAAGAAGGCAAAATTCTATGTTAGTAAATGGCATTCATATAACGAAGCGATTGATTTTAGCACTTCCCGAAACGAAAACATATCTGAAAATATAGTTGATTAGAATTTGAAGTACAATTCTCTTTGCTGTTTGCACGTATATCGACACTGTTCGCTTTGATAGAATATTGTTGCGATTCTTTAGAATTCGATAAATAAACAAAAGAAAGTATTCAACGCATTTTCAGAATCGTGTTGTTCGCTGTGTCAGCTGTTTTTTTGGCCTGTAAAATCATTTTATGATTTGAACCAAGCAGTCCATACAACACATACACATTTATATCCATCGCGATAGGCTAATAATAATAATCATTCCGTTTCTTTTGCTCTTAAGTGTTTACATACAAACTGTGATTCCGTTTATTGGTTCCGTACCATACATTCTTATTCAAACGCTTTATAAACAAAAAATGTGTGCAGTATAAGAATGCTTTCGACACAGAAACATCGGAATGTGGAGAAGTGTGTTGGTTCAAATGAAACGATCGTGTTGAAACTTGTCAGAATCAATGTTTTTTTTATTTGAATTTGCATCGTCATAATTTTATTGGATTCGATTGATAAAAGTGCTAAAACATATTTTTGGATTGTGTCAGTGTATGTTATATTTGTTTCTTGCTTTCAAAGAAGTTTATTTTTCGCTGTTGGCGGTTTTCTATTGGAATTATTGTCAACCGATTGTTTTCAAACGAGATATTTGCGGTGAATTTTGTGTTTGATTTTGTTTAGTTTTGATAATAACAAAACATTCACAAGCTGAAACTGCAAATATTTCGATTCAACTTTGGACCGTGTTGGTGTGGTTTGCATTTATATGTTGCATTCAAAAGAGTTAATATCACTCAATTTGTCGATTTTGAATCACTTCACGCTTAACATTCAATCAGGTAACATCAAGTGTCAGTTTTGTCCCCATATATTCAGTGCTTCCTATTGATTCAATTCATTTAAAAATTACACAGTGCAGAAAATATATTTGTCATTTTATTTGTGTTCTAAATTGCGCGTGTGTTTTTTTTTTATTTCGTTTTAGTTCAACATGTCAACGACTGGTGAAACAACGGCGGCTACAGCGCCAAGAAAAAAGCGATACAAATTTCAAACGAATGCGCAAAAAGAAAAGGATGCTGATGATGATGTAAACGATAATGGATTGTTCGCGATTAAAATGCGCCTCAACACAATTTTACGACCAGAGTTCAATCACATTGTCAAACCGTGGATCGAACAGAAAAGCATAATGTCAACGAAAATCACCGTTTTGGCATCATTACTTTTCTTGGATAAAGTGAAATCGGCACAAATGAATCGACAGTGGGAGTTTTTTAAAAACCGAACGTATCCGGCCAAAAAAGGAAAGAAGAAAGGACAGCTCGTTGAAAAGAATCGTGGCGAAGAAGTGATACAGCAATGTTTCTATGCCGTCTTGCAAAAAAACAAAGAAGGTGAGAATATGGAGCCACATTTCCGTCAGTTTGTCGAAGAGCTCAGTCCAGAAAATAATTTCGCCTGGCCCAAGAACGATTATTTTGGTAATCATTTTAAAACGCTGTGCCAAAATCACACGCGATGCTTGAAAACCGGTCAAACGACACACTGCAAGAAGAAGTTGAAAAATTATCTGCGAATGCGAGCATGGCAATTCAACTCAGTGTCTACCGGTTGGAAATTCGACAAGAAGGACATTGACAATGCAGTCGATTTGATGATTCGAGGCTACAATGCGATCCGTGACACTCATCAAAATGCAGATTTCAAACGACACAAGCGAACATTACTTACTGGCATGGTTACTGCAATTGTGCGAGAAGTTGGTGGCCCAACCAATGATCACAACATCAAGGATTTTTCAAAAGGCGATTATTGGTTCAAAGCAACTGCAATGTGGCTCGTTATGCAGACAGAAATTGATGAGTGGCACAATTGGGCGCAAGATAACAATGTGAAGATACCAAATATCAAAAATCTCTCGGTTGTTCCATTGCCTGATTATCAACGAAAGGCAGTGTTTATGTGCAATGATGTCTTCTATCGAATGCTGGCCGAATCGAAACAACTTCCACAAGTTGATGGTAGACAAGCAACCGAAAGTTACATTCGCCAGAACAAAGAATTCTATTGGAATCAAGTATTCGATTTTACGACCATCAATCGAAAACTGAAGAAAAACAAAGAATTCCATTATACCATCGTCAGCAACGGTGAATCTGTGTCGATTATGTATCGCATGTCAAAGCAACACAAGCAACAGATGCAGAATGATGATATTCTTCGAAAGCAATTCATCGGCGGAAAATTTGCTTACGAACTGGGAATCGATCCAGGCATGAAAACATGGAATGCCACAGTTCGTCGAAATATCAAAACAAAGAAAGAAGTGAGTGTTTAAATTTTTGGCATTATTGAGAAATAGAAAGTGATACAGTTACGTGAATAATTTTTTTCTTCACTTTTCCATTTCAGGTCAACATGAAAACGTCCAGTAAGAAGTACCATTGGCTGGCAAAGCAGAAGACGCGCGATGTAAAGGCAAAACGATGGACGAAGCAGTTCACCCAAGAGGAGCAGGACGATCGAAATAATCGACAATTGTATCAGCGAATGCCTTCACCACTGGGCATACTCTGGATTGATTACGTTCATCATCGTATCAAAATGCTCAAGAAAGGAATGGCCGTGTATACAACACCGAAATACACGCTGTTGCAGTTTGACAAGTACGTCGAATCGAATCGAACCGTTGATAATCTCACTGGGAATTTGGTCAATCATAAAGCCGCAATTATTCACATGGGAAATGCAGAAATATCACCAAACTCGTGCATTCGAATCAAAAAGCATGTGAGAGCTCCAGGTACGCGCAAACTACTCAAAGGCTTTCGAAAACGTCGCAATTGTCGTGTGCGCAAAACAGATGAGTGGGGTACATCGCAGCATTGTGCAAAGTGTGGGCGACGATTTAATCCAGCCACAAGGAGCCATCGATTCAAAGTGTGTGAAAATTGTGGAGCGGAGCCCGATTCAATTTTCGCCGAATATTTACCATCAAAAATCGTAGCACAGCGCAGCAAACGGCAATTGAGGTACAACAAAGATGTCGTTGAACTTTATTTGATGCGATTTTGGGCAGAAGGACTCATGACTGAGCAAGAATTCGATATTGCTGCTGAACGTTTACTGTCTAAGGTGGCCGTGTATCCAAAAAAATTGGCAAGTAAACACAGTGAGTGGTAAATTGGAATATGTTCAAGTCAATGCTGATGCACCGTATGCAACTGTTCAACAGCCATATGCAGTCGATGATGAAAATGAATTGGAAATCGAAGACGAGCAACTACTAATGGCTGTACACAAGACATCTTGGGATCGTGATATCGTCGCCGCCAAATGCATTCTCATCAAAGGTATGTGTATTAGAAATTTGCATTTGCATATATTCTACATATTAAATGAAATGCACGCTATTTGAATGATCTATTTTAGCGCTCGATGATAAATATGTATGCAATATTTAATGACATTGAGAAAATATTTTTTTAATAAAAAAAAAAATTTATGTTGAGATATCTAAACATTTGTATAGATTTAAGAAAAAAAATCATTTCTGCCAATAATCTATACATTATTTCCGTGTGTGTGTTTACTTTTGAATAGGACATTGTGAGCTGTTTGGATGGGATATTCCGGCAGGATTAGACAGACGATCACCGCGACAGCCAGCAGTTCAACCGAATCAGCAGCCTTAAGCATCACCAATCACCATTCGTACTCGAAAATTAATCAAAAATTAATATTGTAATTTGTTACATTAACTGAGACTGACTGTTGTGTCTCAGCATTTCGAGGAAGTACTTCTAGGTGTTTTTTTCTGTAAGTATTCTTCACTATGAGATTGTATTCATATAATGGAGTGATTGATATTCATATTCAGAGGCAACAATCGTTTTTCGCTTCGGGAAGTGTTGATATAAATCGCTTTGTTGTATCGATGCTACTAACCAGCATAGAATTTTGTCTACTTTCAATTAAAAAATACCATTTTTCTATTTACAGATATGGGAAACACCCTAATGTACACCATCACCATCGTTTCTATCAGCACGAAATATTTTTATCAGCATTTATGACGTCGCTTCATGAACGACTATGTTTGATTCAATTTTTTTCGCACTATCGCATTTTACAACTTCACATTTTATTACTTGCTCCCTCCCGAAAGAATTTCCGTAAATGAATGGTGAGAGGCAGAATTTTGTTTCAATTTTCTCACTCATTCTGAATGAGTCATTCATACAGTTGGACTTTTATAATTCGAATCCCGTCTGATGATTCGAATTAGCCGAGTCTCACTGTTCAACATATGCAATGCATAAACGATCTACGCCTCTCAACATGTTAATTAATGATATGAGCAATTAACAACACTCAATGTGTTGAAAAAAATTCGGTGGGTTGAAAAAAAAATGCACGATAATCAGCTACGATACCGCGATAGTATGTTTAAAGAGCCAGTGTTTGGAGTGCAGTCGCACAGACCACAGCGATTTATAATTGCATTTACTCATTCACACGATATTCATAAATCGACAACGGAGCTAACAACTCCGCTAGCATTTTTACACTTTTCCAAAATTTTAATTACTTGAATATCGAATTTCGCATGAAGGTAATTAAAAGAGTGATTATTCAACAAAAAAATTAAATATGCTGAATACTAACATTGACATATTTCAAAGTTAGAATGTGTTTGTGTCAGCAATATTTCAAAGCTCTCAAATTCTTATAAGAAATTATTAAGTAGTTATTTGGAAATGTTTGGTGTTGCTTTGACATTTCGGGTGACATACATTGGCATTGAAATGTCAATTTATCATATCCACTTGTCCAGAAATTAAAGTTTCTACGGTGTGAACTGAATTTTATTGATCTAAATTATGTTGAATTGATTTGTGTTGTGTTTGACGTGACGGTTACTTCATCGTACAGCTGTTATGTTTACTAAAAATAAATATTTTTATTTCGAGAACAGTGTAAAACACTTACACCAAATATTGGATGTTTAGTGTTAGTTTAGCCACACATCAATCCACACTTTTTCAAATGTTCCGTTCTAATCTAGTTTTTTTGCTTGATTACATCAGAATGTGTTTTGTATGAGAAAACAATAGCAACAGACAATTGCGCAGAAAGCAATTATAAGAATAAATAAAGTGAAGTGTTTGATTGCCATAAAATACATTACGTTACTTTTTTTAACCAGTTTATTTTTATCAATTTCAGACGGATTTGTTGTCGGATGAAATTTTAAACATTTGTCTTCCTTCGAAACGAAAGATTAGTCAGTGAAAATAAAAACAAAATTAAAAACATTGAAAAAAAGTACGAAAAATTGATATGCAAGGATTGAGTAGTACGACAAAATCCAATTCAAGCTTATCATGATGAATTTGATAATTATCTTTTGCACACATTCATGATAGTAAATTTGAATTTGTGTGAAAACTTGTCTTATCGCTACAACACAGCCATAATTTATTTCATGATTCCAACCATACGTCCGCTAGTAGTCTCAAGGCAGTTCATTTGATAAGAGTGATTGTGAGTGATTTGTTTTTTTTTATGTTCTAATACAATTTTTTCCGTTATACAAATTTCGGCGAGTCAAAGTGTGAATGAACAAACAGTTGTTCTTCGAAAAATGAAGAATTACAATACCGATGGTGCACGTCGTGTGAATGGGAATCGACCAAATGCGCCACCACCCGATTACATTGTTTATCCACATTTAGCAGAAGATTATGAACTCCGTAGACGAAGTAATTACATGTTGGCCGGTGAAGTAATTCCGACGAGTGAAAATGTGGCCTGTGAACGCATCAAAACATACCTCATTTACTGCCTTATAATATTAATCGTGCTACTTGTTGGTGTGCTAAGCTACACATTGGTGATATTATTTGAGGAAAAATCAGACGTACTTCAACCCGAACCGGCAATTAAAAATGCACCGATTGATTTACCTATTGAACAACGAACATGGTATGATGGTGCATACAAAGAGCTTCGCAACTCACTTAAATTCAAACCAAACAAACAAAAGGCTCGAAATGTCATTCTGTTCGTTGGTGATGGTATGGGTTTAAGTACAGTAACTGCATCACGAATTTATAAGTATGGAGAAGAAGGACACTTGAGCTGGGAAACATTTCCACATTTTGGCATGCTTAAAGTAAGCAATTCATTTTTATTTTGTTACATTTAATCGAAAATAATCGATGTTTGAATTTGTTTTTATTTGCTCCCAGTAGACATACTGTGCAGATCATCAAGTATGTGATTCGGCATCAACGGCGACTGCCTTATTTTGCGGTGAGTTCGTTTATTTCGATTTTAACGTCATATCACTCTTTTTGTTGTTATCAAGTACTTTATTTTGAATGAATTGTCTGAAAATGCTTATCGTTGAATGTTTGTTAGGTATTAAAACAAATTACGAGACAAGTGGTGTCGATAGCTCGGTGAAATTGGGCGATTGTTCTGCATCATTGAATCAATCAAGCCATGTTGATTCGATTTTAAAATGGGCCCAAGATGCAGGAAAAGCCACCGGATTTGTTACAACAACACGCATTGTGCATGCTACTCCATCTGCACTGTATGCACATGTACCGGATCGCAGGTGAGCATTGGAATAACATAGCAAAAAAAATAAGTAATCTTTTCAAAACGTTGTTCATGTAGGTGGGAGTGTGAATCAAAAATGAAAGCGGAACATCATGAAAAAGGTTGTAAAGATATTGCACGGCAACTGATCGAAGATGAACCGGGCCGTAGCATCAATGTTATCATGGGTGAGAAATGCTTCCTAGGAATGTTAAAAACTATTTTCATTGTTGACGAATTGCCATTCCTTCTTTTGATTATTTCTATTTTCTTTTCCAATTCGTCCTCAGGCGGCGGTCGACAATGTTTAGTTTCAAATGTAACTGGTTCACCAGAAGATCCTCTGGACACTTGGGCTTGTCACTCCAAAGACGGTAGAGATTTAATTAAAGACTGGACCCACGATAAACAAAAACGAAATCTTCCGCACTCCGTTGTTACTAACAACGAAGAGCTTAACAATCTTGATCATAAAAATACAGAATATGTTTTGGGTATTTCACATACGTAATTTTTTTATTCAGTATGAATAATCTATATTTTATGTCAAAGGTGTTTTTGCCAACGGCCACTTAAAATATAATCATGAACGTGATAACGGTCCGAAGGGAATGCCCTCCTTAACGAATATGACAGAGAAAGCACTTAAAGTATTGAAGCGAAATAAAAATGGATTTGTACTAGTTGTTGAAGGAGGTTTGATCGATCAGGCTCATCATCGAGGCCATGCACGTCGCGCGCTTTCAGAAGTAGACGCTATGGATGAAGCTGTCAAGCGTACTCTAGAGATTATGGAGTGAGAATTTATGAAAATAAAAATAATTTTGATATAAATAGTTTGAATGTTACCTTTTTTCGAATTTAAAACAGCTCCAAGCGAGATGAAACACTCATCATCATAACGGCCGATCATTCACATTCTCTCACCATTAATGGATATCCAAAGCGTGGAAACAATATTTTAGGCATTGCCCAAAAGTCGAAAATGGATAATATATCATACACCACCCTTCTATACACCACTGGAGGTCCTGGTGGATTTCAGATGGAATTGAATGATAAGGGAGATATTCAACGTCGAAATCCCTTGAATGATGACACAACTGGTTACACCTACATTCAACAAGCTGCCGTGAAGACCGATGAAAATGCGCATACCGGTTCGGATGTTACAATCCATGGTATGTAGTTTTATTTAATCAGCCCAAATTTCGTATCATACAATTCAAACTATTCCGTTATCATTGCACAAGCCATTATTTTCAATTTAATTTCTCTTTTTTTAAGCTACGGGGCCTTTCGCACATCTTGTACAACGTGTTCACGAACAAAGTTATGTAGCACATTTGATATCATATGCGGCTCGGATTGGGCCTTTTAGACACTTATGACAATAATTTTCTGTTTGTACTTTGTTTTGTTTTTAAATCTAAATAAACGGTATATTCTTCAGTCGGAAATAGTTTCATTTCATTTTTGTTTGTTAATAGAAGTGTTTTTAGATCAGTTTACTTAAAATAGCTTATGTTAATGATTATGATTTCATGTTTCCATTTTATGATTTAAGATACGATATTTTCCGAGTCATTCTGTTATAACGATATAAAAATTCTATTAGTACTCTCAGAAAACTCAGATGTTAAAATTCAAAGTCATCAGAGCAAAATGCCATTTTAACATGAGGTTTTCTTTTCACATGGTAAAATATTATTTTACCCGCAACACATTTCTTTGCGGGTAAAACGGCATTTTAACATGTGAAAAAAACCTCATGTTAAAATAACGACAAAATGCCATTTTAACATGGGGAAATTTTGTCACATGTTAAAATTCCGTTTTACCTGCAAAGAAATGTGTTGTGGGTAAAATAATATTTTACCATGTGAAAAGAAAATCTCATGTTAAAATGGCATTTTGCTCTGATTACTTTGAATTTTAACATCTGAGTTTTCTGAGATTTATAATTATTATTGAGAATTTTTTAAATAAATGTATTGGATCATTGTGAATCGACGGTGAATTTTCATACATACACATACACACCGACACATATCCCTCTTCACGTATGTTCACGTTTTCGTATGTTGATTGAAAAATAAACACAATGACACAATTGTAATCTCTCTTTAACGGTATAGCCATAAGAAACATTTTACTCACTTATTGTGCTTGGTTGTTCTTCTTCTAAACTGTATGAACTGTCATTAGCATCGTCCTTTCCATCGCTATTCACTGAACTATCCGAATCGCTTGCGCTTGCAGAATTGGATTCGTTGGATTCGCTGGATTCGCTCGATTCACTTGATGAAACCGCATTTTTCTTCTGTTTCTTCACACTGTTTGCTCTTTGATTCGACAATGTCATCACGTTTACGTTTACTGACGGATGGCATTGTAGTGCTCGATGTACTACATATATATTCACACGATGATACATATTCTGGATCATTTGGAACCATTGGCTTTTGTCCAACGACAAACGATGTTGCAGAATGAACAATACAATTTTGGTGCCAAACTTCTTACCCGAAGTCGCCTTTTCATCCTTTACCTGGACAAATAAGCCATTTTTTCAAACGCTCAGAGCGGAAAGGTATTTCTAGAAAGGGTCATTTTTCAGGTAATTTTAAACGCTCTATCGATTGGCATCACTATTTCTTCGATCCTGACCCTGCCGTTTTATCGGGGAGTTGTCGTTTATTTATCTCTGAAAATTTCGCTCGACGCTGATTCAAGGCTTTGGGGTAGAAAATATCCCCCCAAACTAAAGTTATTTTTCAATGCCCTATCGATAATATTTTAACCCCCAACGCCTCCTTACCCCCTATGGGGTATTCTGGTTTAGAACCTTCTAAGACCCAACTAAGTCCCAATAAAGTCCCACTTAAGTCCCACATAAGACCCACATAAGTCACACTTAAATCCCACTTAGGTCCCAATAAAGCCCCAATGAAGGCCCAATTGGGTCTACATTTTTTTTCTTATTTTTGTAAAAATGTGAAATTTGAGCTATATTTATTTATGCACCAATTGTTCGATCTGTGTAAATAGATCTAATATTCTCAAATGAAACTCATGGTCTTTTCTTCTGTGTACAATGAATATATATTTTTATTATGTCTTTCTTGTTCTGTGGTCTTATAGCAACTAACTTATAATATAAACCGCTTCTCTCCTTTCCCTCTGTTCTGTGCGCGTGCACTATAGTGTGTGTGTGCTTTGCACTTATGATGTAAAGTCTTGCGTTCAGTGTGTGAGTGTATGAGCATGCATTATGAGTATGCTCATAGCAGTCACAACAGCAATCATCATGAAATTTTGTCTAGATCAGTTTTTTCCAACAGAATGCGTAATCCCAGACAGAATGCGTAATCCCCTCATTTATGCCATCTTGTTTTCCATAGTTGAACTCAATTTTGTTGCACTGCATTGAATCGAAGAAGAGAAAAAACAAAAGCAATAATAACATGGCTACATAGATCTGTTGTTCAGTGAGATACGTATAACAATGGAATGAAAGAATGAAGAGAGCGTACATGTGTATGTATGCATCAGCACAGATGTACAGCTCTGTGTGGCCATACTATTGTTGTTGTTTTTTCTCCTCTTTTTCGTTTCAATACGACTGATCTGAATCAAGTTCACTGACATAAATAGAGATGGTGCGGGTGAAAAGTTCCCGTAAAAATAATTCTCCAATCTCATAATAATATTATCCGGTTGGTTTTTTCGCAGAAAATTAAGTTTTAAAAATAAAAATCTCGAATATGACACATTTTCGACAAACTTCATTTTTCACTTAGGGAAGGTGGGGGCAAATCGATACACTTTTTTGGCAACCATTTGATAGTGGATTGAAAATCGTAACTTTCTGCATCATTAGATTTTTTTTTAGTTGCCATAGTTTCCGTGTGAAACCAAAAATGTGAAGACATACGTTTGGGGGTAAATCGATACATGCTGGGAAAATCGATACACCGTGATATTTTCGAATTTTTGCAATATTTTATAATTCAGTTTTTATTTCAAAGTTTAAAATCCTAGGGGCTTTCTACTATTCGCGATTGGCAATTTATTCGCAAAATATGAACATTTTCCTATGCATACGTAGAATATACGAAATAAAGTATATTCATTCGCATCAACATCTATGAAAATTCGTATATTTCATGCGAAACCATTCGCGAATGCCGCATACTGTTTGCGAGATGCGACATATTGCTGTGATTTGTACATAAATATTTCTGTATTTAGTTTGTATGCGTGATCATTTGCTTCCATTCACAAAATATGAATGAAACATTCGCTCACATATGCAACATTCGTATAAGTCGGAACCCCCTAGGTAAAATCTAGAAACCACAGATTCTTGAATTCAGAATGAGGATTGAATCTGTATTTCAACGTTCAACTATCATCTTACGCATTTCTCTCACAGTTTATTTGTATAATGAAAACTGGAAAAATCTTTAAATCGATCTTTAAATCGTTTTTTTTTTATTTATTTCTTTGAATGGATCTGATGAATTTTCGACAGTGTTTGGAAACTAGCTGGATATATCCGCTGAAGTGAGCCAATGTTTGCGTGTGATCCACAGAGACAAGTGCATGTATGCAATATAAGCTGATTTATCCAGCAAATTTCCAAACACCGATTTTCGAAGCTATTCTTAAAAGAAATGAAAAAAATCACAGAAATTGAAGTAAAATATATGATAATAAAACTTACGTTTACGAAGGTAGTAATAAGAAAACATGATGAATCTTTCAAATGTCACAAAATATATTATCGTTCAGGGCATTTGGGAGAAACTAATCACTTCACCACTATTGATGATCAACTGATGCAAATACAGACAATGTCATAAGAATTGTAAAATTTATTATCGAGACCTTGAATTTAAAAAAATCTTCATTGCATGTAAATTTTTAAAACAACAAAAAAAAACAAACACTGAACACTTCAATAAAAAAAAGTGTTTTTGAATGGATATGACGAACGCAAAAGAAACGTCACGTAGGATTGATGTGATGTTATTCAAGTCTGTACACTTAATTCAAATGTAAGTCCCCTGAATCTATTTTCCGCATACACAAAAATACGTTTGTAAGCACATCTGTTTAAGGTACAAAGGCTAATAATAATATGAAGCCTTTAATCTGTCTGATTCATATTATTAATTAGCGCGTGATTGTATTTCAATTAGAATTTTGTTCAGTGTGTTGCTTTTTTCTCATTGACTTAGACGTAATCAGACAGAAAAATGATTCGAAAGCAAGTTTATTATTTAGAGTCGTTAAAAACACGATTTTTTCTTTATTCTATTGCGTAAATTACTTTAGGAAACTGGCGTCATGATCATTGTGCATGCTCGTTTGACGCAATTTCGAACGTTTTCCATATACTTTTTTAGCCATGTAAAATGTATCGAATAAATCCATTATAACGTTGAACATTGGAGCTTCTCGTTTAACACTTCGCGTATCAGTTTCAGATGAGCCAATTGATGGAAAATCTCCAGTTTCGGCATTATTGACGGGTAATAGATCATCGTAATTATCGGTTAGGCTGCAAACGTTTACTGGCTACAAAATAAAATAGAAGTTTTCTTATCAGTAATAAATGCAGACGGACCCGGTCAGGGATATCGTTTTAAATTATTACTTCTTTCTAGTGTAATTTTGTGCGTAGTAAATACACTTACGATTAAAAGAAAGCAGCTGAACAGCACAATATTTTCAATGTTGATTTGCATTTTTAACACGAATTTTTTTTTGCAAATAAATAAATGCGTATGTTCTGTTTTCTGTCCAAAGCGACATTCAGAAGATGCTGTTAAGCGTGCAACGTTTTATATAAAATTCGCAAAAATTCTTTATACAGCGAAAATAATGACAATGACCCATATTTGGAAGTATTTTTAGAAAAATTGAAACGATGCTGTGGGGGTGTGGTTTTGGCCACTAAAAGTTCAACAAAATTACAATGAAAAATGTCATGTCATGGGATCAAATGTGCATGTTTGTATGAATGCAGTTTTATAAGCGTTTCACAAATAACACATAAAAACGACCTTTTGATCAAAATAGTTCATGAACTCTACACAAACCAACTGTTTAAAATCATGCCATGTATGAATTTTTATTCTATTATCTATATTGTGGCGTTAATATTTTAATATTATAAATAATGCTATTATATTTTAAATTGTTGCTTTGGTTTTTGAATGAAGTGCTTCGTAGATAGCCTATCCATTTTTCGAAAATATCAATTTACACAGATTAACGTTGTGGTGTTGTCAATCAAAATATCCTAATTGCCGAAAATGTCCCTCTTTTATATCACATTCGAGTTCGGAACATTCGGTAAAGAAAGCATCAACTAAACGACAGCTGAAATAAAGGTGATAAACGTAAAAACCAAAATACAACAAATTTGATCGATAAACATAAATCACGGCTGCATAAACTTTAATGAATGTCAATCTGAATGCCAAATATTTAAAACAAAAAAAATAAATTCACTTGAATGCACCAAAAAACAAACAATCAAAGCCATTAATAATATTTTCAGCATTGTCATTTTTCTAAATTTTACACGTATTCTGAATTCGTTTACAATCTACGGTCAACTGACTTCGATTAAAGCTTACTTTGACGGAGGATTATCCACTCTATAAGTTTGTTATCAAAATCTGTACACATTTTTAATACATAAAGAGAGGACCCAATCTGAAGTCAGAGACAGAAGTTTATTTTTTTAGCGATTCAGTTTTTTTTAATAAGAATTACATTTCAATTGTATCATATTTGTTTAAATAAAATGTCGTTCTTTATAAAAGGAAAACAATGTTCCAAGCCATGATGATAACATAGCAATAAAGATTACTACAAAAGATGATGAAATGGAGGAATTTCACTTGTGTATCAGAAATTAAAAGTAACTTTATTAATTATTAATCATCTTTATTCGAGAACTATTGATAATTTATATAATTCAATCATGAGTAACATTCAAGTGTACAAAACTGTTTTTTGCTTTTTTCAGTTTTTTTTTTGCATTTGGGTTTTTCCGAAACGTAAGGATTACTCTGTCCCACCATTTGCTATTTAGTGTATCGGCTGCCTTTCATCTGGGAACGCTTCAGATCGGCCTATTTAAAAAGAAGAAGATATTCATTCAGCATGATTTTATTATCAAATTATTATTATTATGGTTACCTTTGATGATGTATAAAATGTGTCCAAAATATCAAGGATCAAATTGTAAATTGGTCGAGCTTCTCGCTTATTGTTGCGTGGTCTACTAGCTGGCATTTCCATCGACGAAAAATGACCATTCTCTCTATCATTTGGAAGGAAATCGTCGAAGATCGAATCGTCATTGACAGGATGCGAATAAGCAATCAATGGCTGGAAAGGAAATCACATGCATTTTTTTAAGTTAAAGGCAACCCTTTGACATACGCATAGTTGCATAAATAAAAAAATACGACCAACAACACTGTCTTCTAAAAATGCTTAAAAATACATCTAAAATTCTCTTTTTTAAACTAAACCCATAAAATTGATCGTAAATCGTCTGCATTGTAGCAAAAACTTTGCAATTTATAACATCACATAAGAAAACTTTATTCTTCACATTTTGAAACAAATTGAAAACTTTTAGCAATTGCACACTAACTTTCATCATATAAGTTATTTTCTACTAACTACCAGCATATAAAAACCTTAAAACAAAACTTTGTGGCAAAAAAACACTTACTAGTAGAAAGAATAGGCCGAAAGCGAACAATTTCTTGAAGTTAATATGCATTTTTGCGAATAGTATCGACGACACGGACCAACGTATTTCTGCGCTAACAATGTTAAGTGCCCAAAGAATTATACATATACTAAATCGTACCAGTGACCCATATTTATGCACAATTACTTTATTTTATGTTATACGCAAAGTTTTTCAAACAATTGACCAAGTTCAAATAAACTATAGAAAAAATGCAAGGTAATAATTTAACTAGAAGTATTCATCGTCGCCAAAATTCATAAACAAACAACAAAAAAATGTTTTTTTAAGTCGATTTACCTTAGTGCTTTCAAAATATTATTAATATTCATATTTGTGATGGCATGTCTCTTTTCAAAACACCTTTGAAATTCATTGAACTGGTATTCGCTATTAATATATCCATTATAATAATTGCCAAAATAATGTCAATTTATGTCAATGTTCACCATCTGATGCCTCTGATGTGTATATTAGAAGAATTAACGAATATGAAGTCAATTAACGAGTATGAGGCTCATAAAAATCATTATGACCAAAACTATTTCGAATCAGAAATAATCGATTGCAATTTAGAAAAACATATAGGAATAATTCCGTTGAAAAAGTCATTTTCGTTTGCCGACATTGGAATATTGGATGAAATTAGAAGAGGTTTTCAGTTCAAATCTAGTGGATCTACTTTAAGCTGTTGACCGGACAAGTTTGAGCACTTGTGTTCCATCCAAAATGGTGAATTTTAAATTTTTGAAACGAAAGAGAAAGGCTCAGTTCAAAGTCAAACGAATTACCTACATGAGTAGAATGAATATTAAGACAGAAAACAATGAATCTTTTTTCAAGCAGTGTTTCTATTCATTTGCTGATATGACGAAAATAAACGGTTTTTACTATCTAAGGAAAAGTACAAGAATGAATTTTTGGTAAATCAAAGTGATATTTTTTGTATTTCCAAATGAGAAAATGAAAATTAACCTTGAAATGTTATTAGTTGTAGATTGTTTTGGATTCTAGTGCCATTATCCTTTCTTGCGCTAGCTGGCATTTTAATTCATTTACTTGCAAAGAATTTTTTTGAAAATCCCACATTAATCTCGCACTCGCCGCCACAATCACTTGCTTCAATTCCATTTCCAGCGATCACAGTGTGTCCAAACGATCCCGTATCACCGATAAAAGTTCGCAATTTTTTGAAAAGAGCGTAAATATTTTTTCAAAAAATACTAATAAATTCAGAACTTAAGCGATTTTTAACATTTATATCAATTATGTTCATCAATAGAATCATTCCAAAAAATTATACAAAACATCGTGTTGAATCCGCCATAGGCATTCTGAAAGGGTTTTCACAGGGTTTTGCCAACGGGGATTTGTATGAAAATGACATTATTGATATTGTTGACGAAATTCTAAAGGCAAATAACCTTACAGTACCAGAAATTATGGCCGAAATTGGTTTGGTGAGAAAACTGTCGTGGAAAAGAAGATTACATTATTATTTGTTTAGCATTTTCTGTAAAGTATAATTAAAAAAAAAATAATTTTATTCGCAAAATAACAGGGCTGCGAAGATTATTTAAAACGATACCGCTTTGGGATGAACGTATTTGAATGTTCATTGAATAATTGCACCGAGTGGCGAAATATACGTAGTATTTATGGAGTGTGTTGTACATTTAATTTTAACCCAAATGATTTGTCACAATCGGTTGTTTCAAATGATTGGGGAAAACATAGTGGAGTAAGCATAATTCTCGATGGTAAAATGGTCACAAAATCTGGTTTTAACACATTTGTTCATAATGTCGCTGAATACTTGACAAAATCAACATCAATTATATCACTTCTGCCGGGCTATGATAATTTCATTCGCGTTCGTCCACAATTTAACATTCCATCCCAACACTTTTTGAGCTTACCATTTGAGTCCAGGCGATGTTTTTTACCACAAGATAGAAACCTAACACTCTTCCAACAGTCACGATGTCAAAATATGGAATTTGGGATGGCAATTCGGAACGAGTGTGGATGTCATCCATATTTCTTACCTCAATTTGACAACGCAGAAAATACCACGGAAAATTGTACAATTCAAGACATTCGTTGTTTCAAATATGATTCAGGTATAATGCAACTGTTTTTCGGGTGCATTTAGAGTGAAAATTACAGCATTTTAAACTGAACAAAAATATGTATCCCACATTTAGCTTTTTGGAATCACATTTCATCTGACTGTTTTCCGTCATGCCATGATCTATTTTATCGGTTAACCACTTCGCAGACAATGCTTCAGAGTCACGCAACAGTCATGACGCTATAGTATTTCATTTGATCAAAATCCGAATATGTTTGATTTAATTAAATTTTATTTGTTCATTTTAGTAAAAATATTACACAAAGTAATGCATCGCACATTTTCTCGGCGCATATTTTCTATGGAGTTCATAATGTATTTGTTTTACCAATATTTTACAAGAAAAATGAAATAATTTTGGCTTTTCTTATAATTTTGATGATCAAAAGGTCAAAGTGCTCAAATGGATATTGGTTATTACTTGGCTTGATTTGATTTCTAACCTCGGCGGAATTTTGAATTTAACACTGGGAATCAGCGTCATATCAGTATTTGAAGTTATCTATTATTGTATTTACAAACCCATTCAATTGTACTTGAAGAAAAAAAATACCAAGTCAACAAAATACAAATTTCATCGAAAAAAGTAATTTAATTATTCAGAAATGAAAGAATAAAGTTTAGCATTTTCTTGCTTAAATTTAAAATATTCAATATTTTCAAATACGCTCGTTGCTTCGTACATCGACTGCAGCGCCAGTGTTTGAAACTTTTATCACACATGACAGATGTAACAAATGTCAAAATAAATCCATTCATTGAGTAAAATAGTATACGAAAACACGACATCGTAGTGTGAATTTGTTTCATTTTTTTCCTCAAAGTTTGAAATTATTAGCAAGCAAAAATGGAAGAGCCACAAACGCCGTCACGGCTAACAAATGACGATTTTCGTAAGTTGCTCATGACGCCACGATCTTCGTCATCATCGAGCCATGCACCAGGCTCGATTCGTGAGGCGATGGCAAAGTCATCGTAAGTATAATCGTTCTATTCAAACAACATTTTTTGTTTCAAACACTTTGATTTTAATCAATCGTTACCATATTTAGGAGCGGTGTTATCAAACTTGATATGCCACCACCATCCGAGAGACACGAGGCCCGTCGAAAAAAGAAGAATTTCTATGCCCAATTAAAGAAGCAAGAGGATACAAAACTACAAGAATTGGCTGAAAAATACCGCGATCGTGCCCGTGAGCGTCGTGATGGCTCCACTCAAGATTATCAACCAATTGATCCGACAACTGGTGCAAACGCATATCGTGCTGTAGCGCCCGATTCAAAATCAGGCCTTGATGCAGCCGAACGTCGTCGTCAATTAATTCAAGAGTCAAAATTCTTGGGAGGAGATATGGAGCATACGCATTTAGTCAAAGGGTTAGATTATGCTTTGTTGCACAAAGTGCGCAGTGAAATTATTGAGAAAGAAAAAGAGCAAGAATTTGAAATGGAGAAACTGGCAGAAATGGCCGAACAAAAAGAAAATGAAATAAAAGATGGTGAACGTAGTGGCAAAGAGGAGCCAGAACATCGAACTATAATGGGGCGAAATATCTTCAATACAATTCAATTTTATCGATCTCGTAATGTTGAACGCAATGAACTTTATGCACCGGGAAGAATGGCATATTCGTATGATGTCACCGAAACAGTTGACGAAGTCGAATCCGATATTCCAACTACATTAATTCGATCGAAGGCTGATGTGCCGCAGAACGAAGAAGACTTACATACATTGACTACAAACGATATTGTTATCAATAAATTGGCACAAATTCTATTGTATTTGCGTCAAGGTGGAAAGGGAAAGAAAAACAAACGTCGTGACAAAGATAAGCCATTGCTGCAAGATGAAGATCAGGCGGAAGCACCGGATAATGAACGAAATCGTTCGAGCCGTGATAATAAAAGCAGTAAAAAATCGAACGATTTATCGATTTATGATGATATAGATGAATATCGACCATCACGGCGAGATGATGGCGCCTCATCGAGCAAACACCGAAATCGAAATTACTTTGACAAATCTAGTGAACAAGAGGAGCGTGAAGCTGGCGGTATCACAGGTAATTTGGTGCATTTATCCATTCCAGTAACAAAAGTCAAAGGCTAAAGTATATTCTGTTTTGTTTTAGTGCCACCACCACCGAAAATCAATTCAAATCTCATCTCAAAGCTATCCACGCAAGTGGAAGGTTATGCCGAGTGCTATCCTGGTTTACAAGAAATGAATGACGCTATTGATGACTCCGATGATGAAGTCGATTACACAAAAATGGATCTGGGCAATAAAAAAGGGCCGATTGGTCGTTGGGATTTCGATACACAAGAGGAATACTCGGACTATATGAGTTCAAAAGAAGCGCTACCAAAAGCCGCATTTCAATATGGCGTTAAGATGCAAGATGGTCGCAAGACTCGCAAAAATAAGACAGAGAAAAATGAAAAGGCCGAATTGGATCGTGAATGGCAAAAAATTCAAAGTATTATTCACAAACGGAAAAATAAGGAAGGAGGCAGCTCAAGAGATGACGAGCCAGAATACAAAGTTCCAAAATACTAACCATTTTACAATTAAAAACAATCATATTCGTAGATTTTATTTTAGCCGATTTAACATGCACATTCGTGTGGTTTTTTATTTAAAAAAAAAAATTAAAATTCATTTGAAATAAACATTTTTCCCGAAAGGCTTAATAGAAAAATTGTGTTTTGTACTATGTTTACAAATATTTTCAAACTGTGACCTGTGTTTTACCACACCACCAAAGAATTAATGAATTTTCTCTTGGCATTTTAATACGGCCTTCATTATTGTTATCAACATCATTCATATCGCTCAATTCAAAATGATGTTGACCAGATGATGTCGCCAGAATCGCTTTGGTTGGATGCAATGAAACACCATTACAACAATCACGATGAACTGAATACTGAAAACAAAAAAAAGAGAATTCCAGTTAAATTGTCAGCTTGTCAAACAGATTTGATTGTGCTTACCGTTTGTTCTTGAACAGCCGATAAATCGTTTAAATTCCAAGCATGAATGATACCAGATGTGTCGCCAGACATAAGCCAATTTGTGTCCGAACTAATATCAAAATAAATTCTCTGATTTGTATTAACCAATCGTGTGAATTGTGCAGTTTGCACTGGTTCTGCGATGTGACGTAAATCCCAAAGCATCAATTGATTATCTTTGCGTGCACCACTAATCAATTGATTTCTGCCGTGTAAAAATCGTAAATAAGTTATGCCACCACGATGTTGATTTATCTGACAAATATCACCATATTTCGGTTCTCTTATATCTAATAATGTGATACTACTCGACCACGAACCAACCGCAACGACATTGTCTTCTGAATTGCATGCAATGGCTGAGGCTGGAGATGAAATTGGAATCGATTCATAATCACGACCCGGTACATTTGTTTTGAATATTTTCAACGTTTTCTTATAGCCACCAATCACTTCAGATCCATCATGGGAAAATGTAACACTTAACGCTGATTCTACTTCGTCGACCGCATTATATCCTCGGTATGAGCATCGCAAATCACCATAATATGCATCCCAAAGTTGAATTGGCTCATTTTGACGTGTTGCTAACCAACTATTTCGAAAATTAGAAAAGAAAATTAGTTTTGAATTTAGTTGTAACGAATTAAAAATTACCAACAAGTGGCTGCATCATTGCTATTCATAAGCGGAAACCAGCAGTAGTCATAGACAATTCCACCTTCGTTGACATGAACAACACTTTCTAAACAATTTAGCGGTCGTTCAGGTGAAATTGATTCCGCTTCGTATAAATCGCGTGGCGTTTCAAAGACATGCATCCCATCACCATTGACAGTTGTTAACAGACATGTGCCATCAGGTGACCAAAGACATCCTTTCAGATAACGTTGATTCTTTGAACTTCCTCTCCATGCGCATCGAGCCAGCTCGACCACATTTTTTTCGATGAAAAAAATCAATGGGTTGCAATTTATTCACTGCACATTCCATGACGTCTTCATACTTTTGAGGCTGTTTATCTTCAATCGGTGTGAATTCCATTTCATTTTTTTCCTCACTTGGCGTATAGTCAGTGTCGATGCACATCTCTCCCAATGCACCAACAAGCCGATTATCGGCAACTGTTAATACTTCTTCTACTTGTGCTTTACCATCATCGGTTTCAGTCTCCGCAGTTTTTAACGGAGGAGTACACTGTAAATGTGTATTACACTCAATTATCGGACCTGATACTTCATCCAATAATTTGGTTTCGATTTTATTCGCAACTATTTCATCGATTTCCATTTTACCATTCAAAAATCCTACCCAATTATCTTTATACTGTTGAAAAAAATCGTCTTTCAAAACTGTGCCGGTTAAAGTGAAAATGCAAAAACGCAAAGTGTCAAAACACTGTAGTTGAATTGGTGGTGTTGATGTTGACAGTGTGACCAACATCAAAAAAAATCTGACACATTCTGAAGCGTATTCATGAAACAACATTTGTCACATAACCTAATAAAAACAAAAGCTTTACCAATTTTTGCTTGATCATTCAACTGCTTGGTTTTGAAAAACATTAAATTTCATTCTTTAGTAAAATCCATCAAATTTAATTTGAAAAAATGAGTTCAATTGGTACTGGGGTGAGTAAAAATCATTGAATTTACCTGAAGAATGTGAAATAAATTGTGGATTTTTGTTTTATTTAAACGAAAACCATGTTAGACGTCATACATTGAATGACAAGTTATAATTGTTCGGCGGTATATTGATGTGTTCATTTTAATTGCAGTATGATTTGTCTGCATCTCAATTCTCGCCGGACGGTCGAGTCTTTCAAATTGATTATGCTGGCAAAGCCATTGAACAAAGTGGAACGGTAATTGGATTGCGTGGCAAAAATGGTGTAGTTTTAGCTGTTGAAAAGATTGTGCGTAGCCCATTGTACGAAGAGGACGCTGGTGCTCGTATTTATTCCATTGACAAGCACATCGGAATCGTAAGTGTTTGATTTTAAATGAATCTCATCATTTGTGGTATTCTAAATCCATGTCATTTGATTTCTTTAGGCATTGGCTGGTCTTTTGGCCGATGGCAGAACTATTGGTAAGTATAAATTTGGGATTAAAGTTTGTTTTTGTGTTAATCTAACACCGTTTATTTACTTCGTAGTGAAAACGGCCCGTGAAGAAGCTACAAGCTATAGACAACAGTTCAAACGGCCAATTCCATTGAAAGTGCTCAATGATCGTCTGGCAAATTTCATTCATGCCTATACACTCTACAGTGCGGTTCGTCCGTTTGGTGTCAGCTGCATTTTGGCATCGAATGATCCACACAATGGACCAGAAATGTACATGATTGAACCATCCGGAACATCATACGTAAGAGATTTGTATTATTTGATTAGAATATGGCAGCAATTTACTTTATACATTTTATAATTCGAAATATATCCAAACGAGCAGGGTTATTACGGTTGTGCCACTGGTAAAGCGAAACAAGCGGCCAAAACAGAAATTGAAAAATTGAAATTGCAAGATATGGATATTGAACAGCTCATCACCGAGGCCGGTAAAATGTAAGCATTCACAATTTTTCAATTTTTAAAGATTGAAATTCTTTTAACCGGATTTTTGCTGTTTATTTGCTCTGTTTTCAGTATTTACCAAGTGCACGATGAGCTTAAAGATAAATTATTCAAAATGGAATTGAGTTGGGTGTGTGATTTATCAAATAATGTCCATCAACTGGTTCCAGCTGAATGGTATAACAAGGCATATTTGGCCGGTATCGAATCGAAACACGACGATGACAGTGATAATGAAATTTAAATGCCGCATCGTTCATCGAACAACCATTCAATTTTCTTAATGAATTCATATTCTTTGTACGATTAAACACTTTCTCTCGCTTTTTGGTGAAAAATATTAATAAAAAAAATATTAATAAATTTATAAAATTGCATTTTATTAATGAATCTGAGTCATTCTACGCATCGTAGAGTATGTTCACTCGAAGAAAATTGGCTGTCATTTTCTAACCTCAAATATTAAAAACATTTCTTGAAAGTTTGATATACGAACAACAACAACAATTGCACGGCAAAAACAAATCGTACTTCTAGTGTGAGCAATTTGGTTGAGAGTAATAGAGAACAAGTTTTGCTTAAAAACGATACAAAAAGATGGCATTTCAAACTGTCCAACGTGTGGCTGGTGGTCAATTGAAAACAACACCATACCTTCAACTCACCGTTCGAACTGCTGCAAGCAAAGCGGTAATAGTATTGATTTTATTTTGAAAAAATTCTTATTTATCTAAAATAAATTCAGTGTCATACGACGAGAGATTATATAATGTTGACTTTAGAAAATGATCAGAAGATTCACATCAAATGATACCTTTAAAAACGGAGATAAAATTTGACTGATAGACTAAATCAAGACACCATAAAATTGCTGGTTTGGTTTCTCGTCACTTCTTGATATTTCGTGGTCTTAAATGCGGTTTTGCCAAATATCACTGACTTGGCGGTCAGCCCAAATTTCCGATAAAAAGGAACACAAAATTGTTGTGGTTCGAAATTAATAAATTTTATGAGATTTTCGAATAGTATTATTAAAAGCAAGGAGATAATTAGTCTCATTAATTTAAATGCAGTATTAATTTGTTGTGATTAGTTGATGATATCTTCAAGCTATGATCGTGCCTCCGTTTATAATCACGACATAAAACAATCGCTTTTCATTGAGGTGTATTTAAAATTCATCTCGATTATAAATTCGTTTTCGCCTTACTATAAAAAAGAATTTTATGATGAATGAGCACGAGCCGGTCCTGCCCCTATCTCTCCACATATTTGTTTGTTTTCGTTTTGTCGTCGATCTTTCTTCTCTCTTATATTCATTCCAAAAAGAAACGCGATGTTTTTGTCTCATACCAATAGAGAATCAACGCGAGACTACTGTGTGATATTTCTTTTGATACGTCGCAAATGCGTAGTCGAACACGACATGGGGCAAATATCACCACATGGATTTTAGTGTAAAATCAACTTCCAAAGTAACAAGGCGTACAAAAGTCGCTACCTCTTCATTATTATTTGTTTATCTCTTTAATTATTATCTTGACTCTGATCAAGAAGTTGTGATTTATTTAGTTGTTATTCAGTTTCAAGTTACAATTGAAAAGATAATTTTTAAACAAACGTTGAATTTCCTTTCAATCATAATTCGCTTTTGACATTACGTTACTCCCTTCCCTTCGCTATATATGTTAATCAACTTTCGAATCATATGTCAATAAGGTAACAGTGTTGGCAACTACAACTGCACGTACGGAAAATTTCAACGACCGATTCAATTATAAATGCTTACGATAAGATTGACACTCGCTAAGTATTTCAAATACATGTTAACTTTTGTTGACTTTTTTTGTCATTTTTAATGTATGTTGAGCTTATCGGCCCGTAAAATCGATTCAACACGATTCCAACACTCATTATCCGATCTAATTGGATTTAACTGGGCGACTGGAATAATTGTCACATGCGACTTTGTAATTGATTCGATCATAAATTTGACACCAATCTTAATGTAGGCCCATTAAAATTATAGTTTCAATCTATTTTTAGATTTTTGACATAGAAAAAAAATCGAAAAGGTGCTTTTTATGTTTCCAATTCGTTGAACTTGAGAAACAAGAATAACAACATTTGCTAAAGCGATTCGTGCATTGAAATTTATTCACGGTGCGAAGGTTCTTTATTCGAAATCCAGTGAAGGAGTTAAATAGTTAATACGCTTGTGTTGAGACACTTGTTGTTTTATTTGTTAGATCGGCTTATACAAAATGGTTAGTGAATTGGCAAACATTTTTATTTTTTGTGCTCATTTTTTTTACTTTATTCATTCAACAATAGTAGAATAATACGGGTTTAATGTTTTTCATATGTACATGAATTTCAAGTATATTCCAAATAATTCCAGAATTAAAAGTATCTGTTTTTTTTTTTGCCGAGATGCTGATAGAGATATTTTTGTTTGTTTGTCA